AATTTTAATGAAAAGAAAATAATTATTTAACTATAAAAAATTGCAATAAAATATTTCTTAGTACTAATTAAGAAGAAATTAAGAAAGTTATGTTAAACGATGACGTTTCTACGTTTAGCTAACGTCATTATCAAGTCAAACTTAGAGTTGATGTAATATACTGTACTTCGATGTCAGTAAATGTTATTTACTAAATAATAATAATAATAATAATAACAATAATAATAATAAATTAGAGTTGATAAAAATAATTGTATAAATACTAATTAAAATATCAGTTAATTAAAGAGGAATAAACGTGGTAAGAATATGCTAATTACAGACTGGAAAAGTATGTAATTGGAAAAAAGGTGCTCATTACAAAAAAAACAAAAAAACAACAAAAAAATTAAAAATGCTAATTACGTACAAGTACTTGCCAGTATCGGTTGATCAGGCAGCAGCTCTCGTAAGCTTGTAATTCTATTAATTTGGGGTTAGGGGCATTGTTTCTGTTGTTTGTTTTATATAACGTTTCCTTAACATGCGAGGCCTTGCGAGATCTGCTACCTGGCCCGTCAGAATACCTGTATTCTACTCAATTCTTTGCGTCAGACACGTGCTAGTAAACAGGCGGAGTCAGGGTTTCAAATCTCCAGCGGCATCCTATCGCCCACACATGGGTTAAGTGCTCCCCCCCCCCCTCCCACTGGTATTTCAACAAGACACAATCGCACTGAAAAACGGGGTGTTCGCTGAATATTGTCATTCCTGATTCGTTGTTTGTCAGATTTCTCCGGAAACCATCACTAAAAGTGCAGTAGGACTCGATTTGCGCGAAGCTCTTCTATCAGCATTTTTGCATAAAATCTTCCACACGGGAATGCCATCTAATTATTTTCAACACATTTATAATTCAACTCTTTTAGCAGCTTTGACATTAATCGAACTTCAATCTTGATAATGATGTTGGTTACATCTGGTTACATCGGAACCAGTGGCGGATCTAGACCTTGAACTAACGGGGGTGGGGCGGGTTGTTTTGCTTGCCCTGCCGGCTTTTCTTCCTTTTGTGATATTTTTCTTTTTTCACCCAAAATAAGGGGGGTCCAGGCCCCCCAGGCTCCTCCCCTAGATCCGCCACTGGAAACGTCGACGAACGTTACTTTTAGGGTCCGTCCACACTACTCCAGAGGAATTAGCCACAGCAGCTTTATTTCTACGGGCCTCTGCGGTTAGGCCTACCGTCCACACTAATCCGTCAGGGAAACAGAGCTTTTCGAAAACGCTCTTCAAACCGGAGGAATTTGAAAACGCTGGCTTTGCGTTTTAGTGTGGACAGAAGACATTTTGAAAACGCAGCTTTTCGAAAACGAAGACATCAAGATAATATTGTGATTTCCCTGTCCAAGTTTTCCCCAACCACAAATCAAACATGATCGGTTCTTGTTGGGTTTTCAGCTTTCCCCGGCGTAGCGTGGACGGAAAAGACTAGGTGCGTTTTCAGGGTGTAACCTCCGTTTTTTTCTCTAGCATAGTGTGGACGGACCCTGAAAATTTCTTGTTTTAAGAATGCTTCAGCAAGCACCATTCACCTTCCATTCGATCCGTTAGATTTCTTACTACAAATAACGGATAGAACAATATTTATATAATAATAAAGTTATTATTATCATTATCATTATCATTATCATTATTATTATTATTATCATTATTATTATTTAGTTTTCACGCTTTGAAAAGAACCCAATGAAAGTGAACAGTCTTTCCTGAAGGAAATTTGATGTATTTTTAAAAGTTAAAAGTAATCATCACAATGAGTGATCACCATAGAATCGTATAAATTAGCACCAACACAAATGTAAACACTAGTATCATGTTAAGTTGTGAGACTAGAGAACCCGAGGGCTTGACTATTGGGAAAAAAGGGATGTCTAATTGAGTGTGTGAAGAATGATGCGGTGTAAACAGACTTAACAACAAAAACGGAAAAAGAATTAACAAGGGTTGCAAAGACCCGGCTGACCATTTCAATTCAGTTTTGACAGGCTAACTGCACAAGAAGGGAAATTATGAAAACCACTCGTGCGATACAGGTGTTTCTAAAAAGGATATTTGCATATCTGGCAAAGTTCTCGAAATATGAAAATAAACCGTGCTTTTAAGAAACCAATTGAATGACAGGAAATGAATATCGACCGATTGAAAAATTCGAGTTGTACTGCGGAGAGGAAATTTGAATAAATAAACAAATCATCTTGAGTTTTCGAGATAACCTGCAAACGGCTTTCATACAAAATGAACGAAGAGGGTCATTTTTCGTGCGTTAAATTCTAACAAGTGCCTCAATCAAGCGAGATGAAACTGCACAGAAATCGTAAGCAAAGAGCTGTCAGCCTTCCCAACGTCTCTTGCGAGGTTTGTCACTCAAATTCTATTTCTCTCTCGGCCAATTTTGAATTACGATGTTAATAGTTTCGTTGTAAATATTACATGATCATATCTTTAGTAGATACTAAAGAGAGCGTTGCACCTTTAATAGCAAAATATATGAACGTTCTTTCATTGGAAAAGCAAATCATCTTTGCATGATAAAATCTTCATAAACAGCGAGAGAATTTTCTCCCTTAATTTTAAGCAATTTAACGTAAAAAGTTCGCTGCAAATCAAGCGTCATTCAACAACAAATAGGCTCTTTTTTACACTAAACTAATCGCTTATCATGTAATAACATTTCTTTCGTTCTGCATTCGCTGGTTTCTTTATACAGCAAATTATTGCAATAGATGTGATCTCTAAAATGGTTCTTTTTCACCCGTTATCTTAAATTTTTTCTCCACTTTACAAGTCTTTGCGCGTTCTGATCGTTCTGATTGCTTTTTAGCCTGTATATTAAGACAATCTGAGTTTGTTTTTAATTTTGTACTCATTTACTATCGCCGAAGGCACACTACAATACAGAGGGGTCTGACACATATTAATATATATCTACCAAGGTTCTTGTCTTTTGGTGTCTTATACCTTCCTAATAATAATATTCTTCAGCAGGATCGAATAATATTTATTTCTTTTCTATATTTTTTCCAAAACCTTGTCCTGTGAGCCAATTTTAGCCTGTGTGTTCATTTAAGGTTTCAGTAATTGGACTCTCACTGGCATTAAAGTTTTTTTCAATGTTTACATTTTGCAACTGGTTACATTACAGTCGATATTGGTTATCCTCAGACTCATCTACTCAAAAGTGCTTTTTTATCTATATGTTTTTAAGAAATGAGTTTTGCAGTATTCTATATAATAAGTTCGCCAATTTTTTCTGCAACATATTTGTTTTTAAAGGTTTCGAAAGGCAAGATAATAAGCGCCATTCTTAGTGTCTGTAAAATTAATTGAAATGTTCGTATACGAAGTGCACCATTTGAGACAGCTATTTCGTTGTCTACTCTTTGCCTGTCAATCTACGTTCATCTACATTCAATATAATATTGCGAGTTTCATATCAAGCAAGCCCACACATAAAGTTGGGGGTTGATCTGAACAGCTACCGAGTACCGAAGTTAAACTCCTGCGAAAACGTACGAATTTTTTGACAACCACAAAAACAAAGCATTTCATGACACATACCATCCTGCAAGCAACATAAGGTTATCTTTGCGTTCCGGGGGGCGGGGGGGCTCCCGTAGAAAAAGGACGGGGGTGTTCGTCCTACCTTTCAGGGGTTAAAAAAGCGGTGCCTCAAAAAGGTCACAGCGTGTTGTTTTAGAAGTCTAAGGGGTGAAAAACATTTCAAGCCACCCCCCCACGGAACAGGACCTTGGTACCTCTTAGGGGTTCTTTTCAAATTCTCGACGAACACCCGCGCCTTTTTTTATATAGAATCCCCTCCCTCCGGGCTTTGCGCTTAACTGATATCTAAAATATTTGTGAATCAAACAGAGTGAACATGGCGGCAACAAGTTGGTTGTTAATTCAAATGGAGAAGGAAGTTTGGAGGACGCAGGTCAAGCTACGGAGCGATACAAGCTGTCAGTTGTGGGAGATAGCGAATGTGGCAAAACAAGTCTCCTTAATGCTCTTGTTAAGAGCGACTTTGATGTAAGTAGATAGTGGTACTCTTAAAGGATCTCAGTGACAGTAATTTGAGTTAGTTTGGCCACATACAAAATTAAATTGAAGGAAACCTTAAAATAGTAGTTTACTAAGGTAGAAAAACACTAGCCTGTCCCAGGGGACGATCGAAAAAGCGGGCGGGCGACGAGCGGGGTCTGCGAGAGAAAAGGAGAGGGAACCTGCTTTTTCGATTGTTCCCACTGACCGAGAGCCTGGAACAGGCTAGAAAAACACCAAAGAGATAATAAAAAACTATAAAGGAACAAGGATGCATGGTAAAGGATGGAGAAGATTACAACTGTGACACGGATGACAAACGACCAACTTAAAAATTTTAGGCTAAATTTTTGAAGATGCACAAACCGTGACGTAGCTCCGTTAACATGCGCGTGGAAATTATTTGCTACTGAGACTAACGAAATTTAGGAAACTGAAATTCAGTGGCATAACTCTTTTAAAGACTTCTAGGTCATTTAACCTCACAAACAAGAGTAATGCGTAGAACATGACATCAAATAACATACTGAAAAACAAAATCCACATAAGGTGATAGCATACACGCATGCGTTACATTCAACAACAAAGCAACCTCAGTCACCACATGGAAGAGCAAGCATCTTTATCCTTGCTCTGCATAAGACCGCATACTTCAGGGGGTCACTGTTTGTCTAGGAGTTGTTAGGAGGACCTTCAGAGGAAAGTAGGAGGAAATATTTTCTTCATGTGACGTTGTGTGTTTTGTGTTCTTTACAGGCCGAGGAGTCTTGCATATTTGACGAATGCGTAACAGACATAACAACAGAGGAGAGCAGATTGGAGGTTATGTTATGGGAAATATCTGGTAAGGATAACGGATAACAGAAATCACTTTTTAAAATTTTTTTCGAAGTGATTGACACTGGTGTACTAATTTGTGACACTGAAATAAGTAATCAAATATGGTAAACTGAACACAGACTTGTTAAAAATACATTACAAAGCGTGGAGAAGTTTAATTTGGGCCAGCAAACGCTAATCTATCCAGTGGCAGGGAAGAGGATTTGAATCCGCGGTCTCCTCCGCTTCCACAAAACCGTGGTGTAGAAATAAAATACAAAAGTGATTCACAACTAGGATACAGTCGTTTTACTTGCTTTTAACTTTTGCATTCCACCATGCAGGCTTGGAGGACTATGAGAGTATAAGAAGGGAGATGTACCGCGATTCTGACGTCATCCTAATCTGTTTTGACATTGGTCATCCGCCATCTTTGCAGAGCGTCGTTAACAAGGTAGACATATGCGTACACTACTTTCAGTTTTGCTTATTCCACCTGTTAAATGGACACTATTATACACTGCAATTTTGCTACATTTTTGATCTAATCAGTGCCAAAATTTTGACTTAGTACCCACACCCGTACACGAACCGATGATGCAGCATCGAGATGAAAATATGAAGTGAATTGTCGAGGAGACTGCAAAATTGTGATCAAAAAGTTTTTAAACGATTTTCTTTCAAGACACGTCGGGAGCGTTTTCAATTTGACATCACACATGACATCACACATCAGGCTTTCAGTGCATGGTAACTTTTATAGCTTAAGTGTACTTGGAAAGTATTTTTTTAACAAAACAAGACCATTATTTTCAGCTTTCCACCAATGAAAATATGTCTTTTAGGTTTTGAGTTTAAGAAGTTATACTCATGGTGGTCCTAGCTGGTCAGTAATTCATGTATCTTTATGTTATTCAGTGGGTGCCTGAAGTCAACAGCGCATGCCCAGGAGTACCGTACCTGCTGATTGGCTGTAAAAATGACTTGCGCACTGACTCGGCGCTGCAGTTCTATCTGACGGTACCAGGACAGGAGCCAGACGAAGGTGACAGCATCAGCAGAATGAGGGTATGTATTGCTCATTTAGATAGTGCTAGTGCGCGCACTCGCCAAGTTTGTTAAAAGAAATGAATCGAAAATCTACTCCATCGCCACTGTAACGGCTGTTCGAGTTTCTAGAATACCGTATACACATCTTTGCTTGAATTTGGTTTGATAATCGCCCCTAAAATTCGAATTTATATCTCTCCTCAGGCTGTTTCAGTTGCCCAGTCTATAGGAGCGCGTGACTACGTGGAATGCTGTGCCAAAACACGTTGGAATGTCAAAGAAGTGTTCAAGAGTGCTGCGGACGCTATTCTTCACAAGGACGACAAGGAAGACGGAAAATCGCCGGAAGAGACTAACAAATCTCAGTCGGTACTTCGGAGATTTTCGTGGTTTAATCGGAGGTCTTCGTCGGGCTCCGCCGATATCAGTGACTGTAACACCGTTGCTCGTTCAGTGTCGGGTAGTAGAAGACTTTCACTGTTTACGACGAGCTGACCATCGGTGGAACTTAGGCCTCTTTAGTTCGTTGGCGGCATTGTCGTTTCGAGTCACGTGCTGAGGTCGTTATCTTGTTGACGTCACTGATAAGAGCATGCTCAAGGCCTGGGAATTAGGCCCAGGCATTGGTGAAAGAGCTGATCGGGGAAAATCATGACGACATTTTTCAGTGTTCTTCAGTCATTAGGGAGCTTAAGCAACGACGACGACGACGCCGAGGACGACGACTAGTAAAAAATGAATTTATATTTTACAAGCGAAACTTGCGATTGTCTTGATCTGTTGGGTACGCCAATGGCTCTAAAAACGTGCTTAAGCTAAATATGCAATGACGGCGTTCAGTTCCAACTGGAAATACGAAAAATTAGCCGTCGTCGTCCACGTTTCGTAGACGACGCGGAACTTGGTCATTTCACATTGTTGTTGTTGCAGAGGACGGCAAAGAAATGTACAACGATTTATAACGCACGTGCACAGCTATTGTTTTGCTAATTAAACCTTTTGTTTTGTGACGTTCACATTGCCGTCGTCGTCGTGGTTTACTTCAGTTCCCTATTACTGGTTTTAGAGCTGAAATGTATACAGCCGAGGGCATTTTAGTTTCCAAAGTGTAAAGCTTAGAGAAGACAGACCAAGGGCCGGTTATGAATGTAAACTAGCAAAATTTGCATTGTTTTCCACACAATCACAAGTTTCCCAGATTGATTCTGATTGATTCTTGATTCTTGATTTTTGGACTAGGCTAGGCTAGGCTAATTGACCACACTAAACGAGCTACTCTTCGTAAGTGTTTGAAGAGGAAGAATTTTACAAACAATGGCGCAAGATTAAAGATATTCGTATTAGATACTGCGACAAGCTCAGCTTTAAAGTCTATTTCTAGTTTACAGATTCGATTCTTGACTGTTTAAATCCATCGAAAAAGGAAGAAAGACTGAGTAAACATGGACAATAAGGCTTTCAGCCTCAATTAGCCTCAGGGAGGCGGCGTGGCCGAGTGGTTTAGGGCGCTGGATTTGAAATCTGGAGGTCCCTGGTCCCTCGGTAGCCCCGAGTTTAACTCCTCGACCGCGTTGTGTAAATAGCCAACTGGTAAGCCTCCCACCAGTTGGGATTCTTAATAGTTTATGTTATACTTGAGATATTTGTTTATTTATTTACAGTGTTCCCATTTAGCGCATTAGTCCTAAATACATCGATACTTAAATAAAGTGATTATTATTATTATTATTATTATTATTATTATTATTATTATTATTATTATTATTATTTGTTCTATGGACTTTTAAAATGTTTTTCTTTTTGGGTTAGCAGTAGCCGAATAGGCCTTATTATTGAAAGTAATTTTGGGTTGGTTACAAAGGGAAAAAAACAGTGCCTTGTTTGCAAAACAGTGGCTGATATGTCTTTGTTTGAATCAAACAATACAATTGGCTACGATCAACAAAGCTGGAATGTTACAGCAGCTCGAGCTACTGTAGAATGTTGAGCCTCTAAAATGAAGGTGTGTTAGTACGATTCTCAGACGGTCAGAGACCGCTAGCTAGTCAAGGGTATCTTTCTCATATCCGCACTGAAGATGACGACCTTTTCAGGCCAGCAGGAGCATCTTGTGATTCGAACGTAGCGCCCCTTGTTTGACTAATTTAAGATTCCCAAACCTCTAAATTCCCATGAAGGGAGAAGATATCAAAATCAATCAATCAATAAATCAATAAGTCATCGCGACTTCTACGTCTTCAGTGTATGTTGTTCGGAATCAGATTTCGACGAAAATAGTGCGGTACGCCTGGCACTTTTTGTATTGGTGGGAGGAGTCCCCGGGGTAAGCCGTGTCACTGTCTCAAGTTACCGATTTTTCCCAGAAAGGCCAAGAAGCCTAAAACTAACAGCGTTCCTCTGTAACTTAGATGTCGTTGCGAAGCTCACGAGACCTTTATTTGTCATTACTTTCCATCGGTTTCCATACCTAACAGCTGCAATAGCTGAAGTGCACCATAGTTACCCACTGCACGAAGTATAGTTTATTGATACTGCCGCCGTTACGAAGCACGTTATGATATAAGTAATTCCTTCTAGTGTTTTGATCTTCAGGTTTTTATAACCATTCTATTGAAATGCCCGTGACAACGGCCGCCGAGATTCGTCGCTACAGAGAGACTACAATTGAAAATTTTGGCCAGGAGGTAAACATTTCTCGGGCGTCGGTGCATAGCTTCACCAATATCTTCATTGAGGAGAGCAGAGCCTTCATTCCCGGAGCATCGTTACCCGCGTACCGCGGTGTTCCGCTGTGGTTTGCAGTAGTCGTCCTCGCGTTTAGTTTTGCTGGTGCAGCCTCTCTCACTGGTGCAATAGTTTCTCTGGTCGCTGATTGCCCAATGCTGGTCATTTACTTCCAGAACGAATGGGTCAACCGCAAGACGCTTCCAATCGTCAAGAAACAACCAGTAAAGAACGACCTTCAAACTCTGAACGCCTTGTATGAGGTAACTCACTCGGAGCTGGAAATGATCGCTCTTTCGACTTATGACAAAGAAATTGGTTTCATTCGTGCATCGTACGGAAAAGTGAAATTCCAAGTGTTCCATCCTGCGGCTTTGGCGCTCATGGATAAAGCGAAAAATACTTCTCGCTGGCTACTTGGTCTGTTCCTGTTTGTCGCAGTATACAACATTTTCTTCATCGTGCTTTATTCGGTAATCATCAAATAGTGAGCCAAACATTTTATGCATTGCTTCAATTGGGAATGCAGTCTCTGTGGCAAACACAAGTGGTTACATTTTGCGCAAACTCAGGGAGTGACAGTGAGACCGTCAGCTAAATTAGGAAAACACTAGTCGCATTGAGTAGCGAAGACCAATTGACCTAGAGGGGTTCACCTGATAGCCGAAAATTGTGCCAAAGTTTACTGATGGCTGAGAAACAGGCTGAAATTTGAACTGTCAGGGATTCTAGCATTCCTACCCAGATCCTTTCTTACAGCACGCATTGTACAGTTTGGTCACTCAGAAAAACAAGTGAAGGCGTTTGATCCTTATTTAGGTAAAGGTAATATAGAAGGTAAAGTCTGCATACGCGCCAAGTGGCTCTCAGGCCGGAGCTTATCCCGGTTTCTGTAGCATGAAGTGATCCTTGGTTAGAAAACTGTTATTTTGATCTAGAAAGAAAATGTATGTTTTTCTGCATGTTTTATGTGAAGCATCGGCAATCATCAAGAGAATATGATCTTAATCTCTTGCAATCGTAGATTGTCATATATAAGCAAATATCATCAAGAGAGTAATTCTACTGAATGTATACGAAAAGTTGTAAAATAGTGTACAGTGCAACAAAGTTATAGAAGTAAACCTACGCTGAACGACTGAAGGAGGTTAGGACATCAATGGGATTTTAAGGACGAATGGAACTGAAGCAGTGGAGAATTTTATGACTTTCTGTTCCACTGACACTCGACCGATTTACATCAACCTCGTTAAGCTACCATGGCTACCAGCCTAATATACTGTTTCTAGCGTCACTTAATCGATAACAACTGTTTCAATTTCGTTTGTGTCGGATATTTCCCAAAAAGCTTGTCTGAAATGCGAATAATCTACTATTGTAAAACAGTTGCTATCATATTCAAAGCAGGTAAAAGAGTTTTATATTTGGTGTAAGATGAAACTTACTCATTCAGTCGTTTTCACGGAATCAACTTGTACTTACAGCTACGCCACGACTTCCGGGAAAATCTTGTTGATCTTACAAAAGGGCTATTGTTTGTGTTAAATCACCAAAATGGACCCACTACAATAGACCATTTCTTGATACGTGCAAAAACAATATTTACGAAATTTACTTTCCTTTCTCCTCAAGCTGGTAGACACCATTTACGTACAATGTATGTCGAACCAAAAAACAGGACAAGGCTGTAACTAGCTAGCTAGTTGCTGAGAAATCCGAATAATATCTACACTGGTCAGTGAAAGTAGGACATATAAGCCGAGTTTCTTCGCGATCATCGAAACAGTGGGGTAAACACTTAGAATAGTTGGTATTTCATTAGCTTGATCGAGATTCATTTGTCGAGGAATTTATCTGAAGAATAACATAAAAGGATTCAGAACCGCTTTGTAGAGTCTCAGTACCTTCATGCGCTCGATCGAGCGGTTTGGAGACCTCCGAGCAATTCGACCGCGGGTGCTTGTAATGTTTTGTCCATGAGGGAAGAGTCCCCAGACGAGAGCTCCTGTTTCCGAGAAACCCTGCTAGGTCAACAAAGCTGTTCTTTCAGTCTTACTGTAAAGTACACATACGTTTGGCTTTCCCGTGCAAGTTTTCCTGCAACAGAACAGGTAAGAGCAGAATTTATATTACCTAAAACGTAACATTTCCACGGTATGTTCACAGTTTACGAGGGCTAGAATTATATGGGCTACCAAAGTTACAATCAAAGAGAATCACCTTGCTGATCTAAAGGATAGTCATATAATTACAATCATCTCTCTACCTTCCCGTTTACCTCATCCAGTCCTTGTGCAAGGCAATGGGTGACATCGCATGGACGAGCACTTGCAATTGCAAGGCCGGAATCGAAATCAAACTATGATTTTTGCCACAACAATGCTCCATACAACTTGTACCGTCCGACCCTCGGCATGATAGTATTGAAGCGAACTTTGATCGAACGAGAGCAGTTATAAACAACTACAGCTTTTATCAAGTGCATAAGCAAAACAAGAATGTTTTTTAATGCAAGTTCCTTGGACAACTGGGCGTTCGGGAATGGTTGTGGTTTTTTCATGATGCAGGAACTGAACCGTGCTATAACATCCACAATTTCGACCCATCCGTAGATGGACCAAAACAAAGATTTAGACGTGGAATCGAATATAGTTTGGGTTTGCATGATTGAGCTGCTCGAAGCTTTTTGAAAGTCCCTGGTGTTTTCTCGCCTACAGTTCTTAAGCTGGTAGTTTTAATTTGGTTTAGATTAGATGTTCTCGCCATGCAAATTTCTTAGGTTTGGCGCTGCTAAGCTGGTGAACTACCATGTCTGATAGAGATCGCTTGGTTAGTGCCACAGGAAGAACCGAAGTCGAGCGCGTTCGTTACACACAAGTCAAAATAGAAGATGTTGGTGGTGAAACAGTTACGGTGAGAGATGAAATGCACGCAAGGGCAAACTTTTACATCAAACAAAGCAGGCCCTACTTCCCGAATAAAAAGCTGCCCACCTACATCGACTGTCCGTACTTTTTGCGAATCGCGCGAGTGCTGTGTGGCCTTAGCCTTTTCGGAGCGGGGGTGGCCTCTGGAGGAGCTAAAGGTGTTCCGGTGTTCTTCTTGGTAGCGTGCCTCCTGTTCTTGTTATTTTACTGCCAGCACCAGTGGGTGAATCACAGATCTCTTCCTGTTGTTTTCAGACAGCCTGTCTTTGCCCATCAAGAAAGCAACAACAGTTTCTACGAGGTAACTGTCACTGAACTTGACGAGATCGCTCTTCAGAATTATCAGGCTGGTATTGGCTTCATCCAGTTGTCCCGCGGAAAGATTCGATGCAAAAGCCTTCAGCCCGCAAGCGATGAAATTCATGTCAGACGCAAAATGCAATTCTCGTCTGATGCTTTTGCGTTTCGCCATGGCCTCTGCTTACAACTTCTACTTTGTGGTGGCTTATTCAATATAATAGATTAGGCGCCAGTAAAGTGCAGAAATTCATTGCTGTACTCTTGTAAACGCCAATGAACAATTCAATAATGTAGCCTAAGAGAGGGCCCTCTCTTAGTGCAGCAGTATCATATTTTCACCTAAGGCATTTCTCATGAAAACCTCACATGCAGAGAAATATTTCAGTGTAAGCCACATTTTTGGATAGTTGAGTAGATTGATAGTTATGTAGACTGAAAACCACTTCAGGTCACCTTGCATGTTGCATGATACTCAGAAGCGCGTTTAAATAAGCATGATCGCGAAGATTCCAAGAAATTGGATTTGATAGAATTTGATACGTTTTCGTTTAGGCCTTTGTGCATGGCTATTAATTTGTATTTGTCAGAATCCACAATTAAGCATATGATTGGTGATGATATACCACTCTCTCTATTTATCAACATCTACAAGTGATCGAATCGGTGATAAAAAAGTACATGTAGGAAAATAAAATTTAATCAGTTTATTTCAGTGATACTTACCCTTTTCTAAGAGGTTCTTGATTGCATTTATAGTTCTGATTCCTGGAAACGTGTTTAGACTCGTTGAGTATATAATCCGCTCTGCTAACAAGCGTCGTATAGTCTGTATATCTAGCAACAAATTCTTGTAAGTAAGAGAGAACACTGATTCAGCCCTAGACGACACCATGAAACGTTAAGGTGGTATATACCCCAAAATATGGCGATGTTCATGAAAAATTCCAGTTTTTAAAAGATACAAGATTTAAGACCCTTGAACACTTGTTAAAAATAGTTTGAAACGATCTTGCCGAATTTACCCCTAGGTAAGTGTGAAATTTAAGAAAAAACACAGTGGTATAAGTTTTTTTTACGTAGCTACGGCCATAGCAACGGCTGTTAACAGTAAGAACATGTGACTAAAAATATAGATTAGTTTTAACAAATATGAACGATACTTTGTGGTAAAGCTGTAAAGAGATGCACAACTCGATTGGTATAATTACTTGGGAAAAGCTTTGCCGATTGACCATCGCAGGCTTATTCATTTCACTTATGAAAAGGAACATTTCCTACAACTACAGAAACTTTTTACAAAATAGAACAACCATTACACCCCCCCCCCCCCCCCCCCTCCAATCTGCATCTCCCCCTGCAATGTTTGGCTTGCTAAATGCTTTTGAAAATCCATCATGTGAGAAACTTAAAGTGCACTTTTCTCAACGGTCTACTTTTGTACCAACTGACCTCACGCCAACATTTCTACTTTGGAAGGTATTTCAGAGAAATTCCTGAAATTTTTGGTAATCAAAGACCAATATAATAGTGTCGTGATGCAATAAACTAAAAAAATCATAACAATTTAACATCTGTCACGTGACACTAGATAACTTGTTCACTGGATTTGGTGCAAAATAAGGTTATTTCCAAATAAAGCCTGTAGAAAGCACTGAAAACAAGAGTTAACTGTGAAAACTTTAGTTTATTGCGTAGAACGAAACAGAAACTTACAAGATATACTTGTTTGAAAATCAAATGTTGTTTTGCGAAAGAGCAGGAACTGTTGGCGTCAATGCTATAAACTAAAAGCTTAAAAGGCTGTGGCTGGTTGCCATAGCAACCATTTTCAGTAAAACCTTGAAAATTTATTTTCACTTCATGAGTGCAATTGCACGCAAATGGTATTTCTTCACCACATTTAAACAAACTTTTTGGTCCAATTTAGGGGACCATTCCACATTAAGGGGGTATGGTACCCTAAAATATAGCGATGTTCATGAAAAATTCAATTTCTTGGAAATACAAGACTTAAGACCCTTGAGGACTTGTCAGAAACATTTTGACATGATCTTGCTGAATTTCCTTCCAGATGAGTGTGAAATTTAAGGAAAGTACACAGTGGTATAAGTTTTTTCACGTGGCAACAGCCATAGCAACGACTGTTAACTATAAGAACGTGACCAAAAATATAGATTATTTTTAACTTATATGAACTAAACTATTTAGAAAAAAACTTTTAAGACATGCACAACTCGATTGGTATTATTATTTGTGAAAAGCTTTGCCTCAAATTGCCATCACAGGCTCATTCATTTCCCTTATGACAAGGAATATTTCTCACAACTGCGGTAACTTTTTACAAA